TGTACTGTTCTATGTTCTATGTTCTATGTCTTCCAGTCTTCTGGCACCACATCTGTAGCCAGAAAGCACTGAAAAGTAGTCAGTTACTTAACAAGTTACTAGTGATTATCTATTGTGAAAGGAGCAAGTGGGCTGTCTTTGGAATTGAGGAGACTCCAAAATGACATGGCTGATGATGAAAGATTAGTCATCCATAGCAGAGCTGGTAATCCACGACATGAGACATCAAGTATGCAGCTTTCCAGCACTTAACAATTTACCAGTGATAAAACGTGGAAGCATTGATTTTTCACTAGGATGGGGTGCTTTTATCCAGGGGACATTAATTAATTTTTGTTTTATTCACTCGTGGGATGTGGGTATCATTAGTGGGCCATCATTTGTTGCCCATCCCTAGTCGCCTTTGAGTAGATGGTGGTGAGCTGCCTTCTTGAATTGCTGCAGTCCACATGCTGTAGGTAGACCCACAATGCAATGGAATTTCAGGGCTTTGATCCAGTGACAGGATGGACAACAATATAATTCCAAATCAAGATGATGAGTGACTTCGAAGGGAACTTGCTGGTGGTGGTGTTCTCATGTATCTGCTGCCTTTGCCCTTATAGATGGAAGTGGTCGTGGGTTTGAAAGGTACTGTCTATGGATCTTTAGTGAAATTCCGTAGTGCATCTTGGTAGGTAGCACTTACTGCTGCTACTGAGCTTCGGTGGTGGAGGGAGTGGATGCTTGTGGATGCAGTGACAAGAAAGCGAGTTGCTTTGTCCTGGATAGTGTCAAGCATCTTGAGTGTTGTTGGGGCTGCACTCATCCAGACAAGTGGGCATTATTCTGTCACATTCGTGACTTGTGTTTTGTAGATGGTGGATAGGTTTTGGGGAGTTAGGAGGTGAATTACTTGCCACAGTATTCCTAGCCTCTGACTTGCTTTTGCAGCCATGCTGTTTATGTGGTGAGTCCAGTCGAGTTTCTGGTCAATGGTAACCCCATGGATCTTGATAGTGGGGCGTTCAGTGCTGCTAACACTGGGATGGTGATTAAATTGTCTCTTACTGGAGATGGCCATTGCCTGACATTTGTGCGATGCAAATCTTACTTACCACTTTTCAGCCCAAGCCTGGATATTGTGCAAACTGTGTTGCATTTGAACATGGGTTGCTTCAGAATTGGAGGAGTTGCTGAACATTGTGAAATCATTGGCAAATATCCCATTTCTGACTTTATGATGGAGGGATGTCATTGATGAAGCAGCTGAAGATGATTGGGCTGAGGACATTACCTTGAGGAACTCCTGTGGAAATGTCCTGGAGTTGAGATGACTGACCTCCAACAATCACAACCATCTACCTATGTGTCAGGTATGACTCCAACCAGTGGAGAGTTTAGCCCCTGACACCTATTGATTCCAGTTTTGCGAGGGCTCCTTGATGACACTCTCGGTCAAATGCGGCGTTTATGTCAAGAGCTGTCACTCTCACCTCATTTCTGGAATTCAGCTCCTCTGTCCAAGTTTGAAGCAAGGCTGTAATGAGGTCAGGAGCTGAATGGCCCTGGCGGAACCCAAACTGGGCATCACTGAGCAGGTGCTGCTTGGTAACACCTTCATCATAGAGAGCAGACTGATGGGGCGGGAATTAGCTGGGTTGGATTTGCATTTAAGTGTTAGGCTCTCCCATCGTTGAGGATGGGATATTCATGGAGCCACCTCCTCCAGCAAGTTGTTCAATTGTCCACCACAATTTACGACTGCTGATCTTAGATGTGATCCATTGGTTGTGGGATCACTTAGCTCTGTCAATCACTTACTGCTTATAGTATTGCCATGGAAGTAGTCCTGTTTGGTGGCTTCACCAGGTTGACACCTCAATTTTAGGTATGCCTGGTGCTGCTCCTGGCATGCCATCCTTCACCCTCCATTGGGACCCTGGCTTGATGATAAGGGTTGAGTGGGGGGAATATGCATGCCATGAGATTACAGATTGTGCTGGAATACAAGTCTGACTGCTGTTGATTACTCACAGTGCTTCATGGATGTCCAGTTTTGAGCTGCTAAATCTGCTCAAAGTTTGTCTCATTTATCACAGTGGTAATGCCATACAACATAGTAGAGGGTATCAGAACGATAGAGTAGACTTCCTATGGTGTGGCAACAGGCCATTCAGCCTATCAAGTCCACACTAACCCTCTGAAGAGTAGCCCCCAACCTTATCTCTGTAACCCTACATTTCCTGTGGCCAATCAACCTGGGGTGTACATCTCTGGACAGCCAATCCACCTAACCTGCATCTCTTTGAACCAGGGGAGGGAACCAGAGTATCCAGAGGAAGCCTGCAGACAGTCACCCAAGAGTGGAATTGCACCTGCGTCCCTGGTGCCATGAGGCAGTAGTGCTAACCACTGAGCCACCATGCTGCCCCAGTATTGTCAATGTGATAGCAGGACTTTGTCACCTCAAAGTGGGTTACTCTTTCTGATACTGTCATGTACAGGTGCATCTGCAGCCAGCATATTGTTAAGCATGAGGTCAAGTATGTTTTTCCCACTTGTTTCCCTTACCATTGATTTATAATACACCTTGGACAACCATAATCTCCTGGAATGTTGCCTTGTTCAGTTGCCTGTTGGAATCCAACGGACTCCATAGATTTTTCCGGAAGAGTCAATAGTTTTTCAATCTGTATTTTACCATCCCCAGCCGTTACAATAAATGTCATTAGTGCATTTATAAAATTACACTGTTTATTGAATTGGTTGAGCACTGGTAAATCTGATAATCTTTTTACATTGTCTAAATATGAATATGTGCATAAACATAGTGGGCGGCACAGTTGAGCCCAATCCAACATCCACATGCGCAGAAATTAGGAAAAGTAAATGAATTAAGATTAGAAAACCCATTGATGTTTTGCTTCTAAGCCTGGAGAGACAGAATTTCTGAGTCCCAACTTAAAATATCTAAATTTGGGTAGCAGGATGGCTCAGTGGTTAGCACCACTGCCTCACAGTGTTGGGGACCCAGGTTCAATTCTACCCTCAGGCAACTGTCTGTGTGGGTTTCCTGATCTCCTACTCTAATTTAAAAAGAAGGTTGGTGAAGTCCTGTAAAATTGATGTAAAAGGCTGATGTCACAATTGGATTTTATTTATAATGATCAGGAGAATTTCTGTGAAAATTCTCAGGACTTGTAATCATAGTTCTGCTATTCAATCTCCTTCCACAGTCCAAAGATGTACAGGTTATGTAGATTGGCCCTGCTAAATTGTCCATAGTGTCTGGGGATGTGCAAGCTAGGCAGATTAGCTATGGGAAATGCAGGGTTTTAAGATGGGGGATGGATCAGGTGGGAAGCTCTTTGGATGGTCAGTGTTGACTCAAAGGGCCTGTTTCCACACTGAAGGGATTCTATTAAATTAGTTTAGCTTGAACCTGGGACCGTGCTGTTCAGTATCATTTCATGTTGCTTGTTTGATCACAAAGTTATCAAGGAATCTATGTTACTTATTTAATTGCACTATTTCCTTCTAATATTCCTGGTGAATGCTTAATTGTTACTTCGAAAAGGACTCATGAGCATTGGTCTCTGATGCTTTTACGTTGACCCAGGATTTCTACAACTACATCAAAAAGAGAAGCCTTGTAACTCTACCTACAACAGACACAAGCAAAGAGCCCATGGAACAGATGTAGGATGAAATTGCAATGGCCTTTCCGTCTCACCTTCCTTCAAGTTGACTAAAAGGGCTGAAAATAAAGACATTAATGGTAGCTTGTGATTCTCACCCACTTTCACATTCAAACTGAATGGTATGGGTAGAAAGGCAAAGAAGGTACAAAAGTAGAAGAAAAATCTTTTCTTACTGCTTTGTGTGTATCTTCAGACTGGAGCTTTCTGACTGTTGTTTTTGGATAACTGCCAGAAGGTACTGAAGGCAGTGGCTATTCCTGCTGCTGCACGCCTCTAAGGCTTGCTGCAGCAGATGTAATTCCATCTCAATTTCTAAGTGCAATGCCCTGTCAGAGTATGACTGTCTGGCCCATATTTAGAGTAGCTCATCTGAACTCAAAAATGCAGGTGGTCCCAGTTATTGCAGATGGAACACACTTAAAGTAGATCCTGCCTTCAACTCAGGTGAACTGAGAGCAGGAAATTTAACCCTTTAAATTTCTTCTTGGTAAACAAAAAGGTTGGAACATGTATAGTTTACCTGATCTCCCACTCTAATTGAAATAGAAGATTGGCAAAGTCCTGTAAAATTGATGTAAATAGCTGACGCCACAACTTGATTTTATTATGATGATCAAGATAATTTCTGTGGAAGTTCCTAGAACTTGCAATCATTTTTCTGCTATTCTATGTGGAATCCCGACATAATACTTAATATACTCAAATTGACTCCCTGTTGCTTTATTTGGGGCATTGACATGTTTAGTATAAAAGAATGAATTATTGTACTCATTTAACAGAAAAGATGACCTTCAAACCGATGTGTTCTAATGTTCTACAGTGTAACTTGGTGTTTATACAGTTAAAATGAATGGAAATCTTGTATCTATCGTGTGGTTAGGATTACAATAAGCCACTAATATTGTTCACACTAGGCAATTAAATTGTTATTGAATTGCTACGTTAGTCTCCTAATCCCTTTCCTTCCTTTACTTGGCATTTAGCTTGGCCTCTGCTTCCACTGAATCTGGTCCCCTCCCTAATTGCTCAGCAGCCTATTATTGCTCCTTCAGACCCCAGCTATACTCAGTTCCTCCTACATAGAACAGTCCTGAAAATTCCAATTTCAACCCTCTGATCTCAGGCCCTGATTTATTTCTCATCTCCAGTTGGCACAATGAGCCACACAGCAGGAGATTTTCTCAGATTAAAAAACCTGCATCTTAAATTTGGACCACAATCTGCATCAGTTCTGCCACGTAATGGTAAAAAAAAGACTGTTTTATTTTGTACTGTTTATTTTACCTTAAAGTAACTTCACATTTTGTTTCAATACAGCAACCATCCACATTTGCTTATGCACGTGAAATAATTCGATCTCAGGGTTTTGGACTCAGGGGCCTGAACAAGGGACTGACAGCAACATTGGGTCGTCATGGTGTTTTTAACATGATCTATTTTGGATTTTACTTCAATGTGAAAAGTATTATTCCTGTAAATGAGGTAACTATTTGATCCAAATCCCTAACCAATATTAGATAATGAAAAATAAATCAGAAACTTGTTATTGTTAGCATGGAAATGAGCAATCTATTTTCATGTTCCTTTCACTCTAGTCGAACTCACTTCCTCTTGCAAATATTTTATTCAAACTAAGGCATTACATCTGTTACAATGTCCCAATTAAACTGGCCTTCAGGAGGAATGTGTCATTTGTCCATCTGTCATAGCTTTTCTGTATCAATCATTTAGTTTTGTAATCTTCCAAGAAGTTGCCATTACTAACATTACATTGAAATGTGACTATTTGCAAGAGTAAATTATTACACGCCATTATATCTAATTGTCCATATAAATGTGGTAGATGACAAGCCTATATAAATAATAGTTAACACTAACCATAATAAAGTGGTAATTGTATTATATCAACATAAAGCAATGTTGAACTGCCTACAAGAGGGCAAATATACCACTGCATACAGCAAAAGTCTGAACCCAGCAGTATTTTGGGGTAGCAGTGTACTGTAAAAATCCTTTAGGTCAATTAAATTAGTTGCTGCTGGTTTCCAAAAATACAAGAGACTTCAGTCACTGCTGTAATTGAACTAATGTGGATTGTTAATAACAGGAAACTTCAACTTCTTGATAGACTTGGATAACTTAAACATGAAAGCAAATCTGAAGAGAAAAGCATGCAGGAAAGAGAACAAAAACACAGGACACTGGGATCAAATTTTTTTTAACATATGGAGATCTCATATACAAATCAGTATTTTCATAGATTTCATGGTGGAAGTTGCTGTCATTTGTAAAGTATTCTGGTCAATTAGCTAATATAGTTGCTTGGATTTCTTATGTTTTGATACAGTATTACTAAGTATATTGTAAGGCCTAATTATACAAATCATCCCCATATGCCTAGCCAGTCTTTTTTAGAAACTTTGTTTATAAATCCTGTGTGAGGAAATGTGTGTTTCAGCAATTTAGAACATGTGTAAAAACACAGGCAATATGATTGTCAAGAAAGTCAGCTTGAGTATGGGAAATCTTAATGTGTTTAGGTAGAATAACAAAACAGAGTGCCATGTAGATTTTTGATTAATTGTAATTCTTTTCTCTCCCTTTAAACAATTTTATGTTTATGTTTTCTTTTAGGACCCAGCAATGGAGTTCTTGAGGAAATTTGGAATAGGATTATTGGCAGGAACGATTGCTTCTTGTGTTAACATACCTTTCGATGTCACAAAGAGCAGAATCCAAGGACCACAGCCTAAACCAGGAGTGATAAAATACAAAACCTGTATTAACACCATCAGAACTATGTATAGGGAGGAAGGGTAAGAGTTCCTTTTAGTTTAAAGTTGAATAATCTTAACATTGTCACTCTCAGTAAGTTTTCATGCAATTGCTAACCAGTTAAAAGAGTGGCCTAGGAAATCCCCTCCATAACTTTGGCTGAAATCCACCAGAAACTTGGTCTACATTCAACTTTTTTTTTTAACTATAAAATATGCTCACCTACAAAGTAGTGAAGAGGTGAAAAATTATTAATTTAGGATGGGTCATAACACCCCTCCTTCACCTAGAGAAGACACTGTTTGATTAAATTTTCTGGCCTACTTGGTGAACAAGTGCATGAGATCCGTCATAAGGTGTCAGCTCTCATCTTTAGCATGCAAATTAAGGGCCTTCCCTTAACCCCATGAGCTTAATGGAGACACTAGTGAAAATTCCCAGGATCCACATCCTTGAATTATATATGTAATGTGCTCCATTACATATATGTAATTTCATTGTTCCTTGGCTGAAGAAAGTAAATGAATTTATAAAAATCCACACTAAATTACTAGAATATATATAATTATTTTCAGATCAAATTACTCACATTTTCCAGAAATATATTTAATGTGTGAAAATCCTGGTACATAGTTCAGCTATTGAAATGTAAAATTGGATAGGAATTATGTAAAAGGAAATTTTAAAAATATGTTAAATTATAACTTTCAACATCATGCTTTCAGTTACATTCTATCATTTACATATTTAGAGAATATCCTCATTTTACAGAGCATATTAAAAACAGAACTAAATGCAAAGTGCTAACACAACCTATTGTTCAAAGTGGGGGAAAGATGAGCTGAAGGATATATTCACTCACATAACAATTTCTCACTGACCATTGGAATATTTTGTTAGCTAGATTAACAAAATTATGGATTTTCCATTCAATAGATTCTTCGCATTGTACAAAGGCTTGCTGCCTAAGATCATGCGCCTAGGACCAGGTAATCCCAGTCATATTGTTTATATACAATCTGTTCAGAAATTTTGCAATAAAGATCTATGATGGCTTGTATCGTTGAACTTTTAAAGTCCTTCACTAAATTAAATTAATTGGTTTTTTAATTCCTCTCTATCTCCAGGAGGTGCAGTTATGCTCTTGGTTTATGAATATTCATTTGCGTGGCTTCAGGAAAACTTCTGATTCAAACAGAACAGGATATTGCTGAAACATTTGTATTTTCTTATGAAACATCATGTTACAGCCCTCAACAAATTTTAGTAAACATGCAGAAAATGATTTTTAAAGGACATTCATCAGAATCCGTATTCAAAGCAAACAATATTATATCATTGAAAAGTACTTTTTCATGTCAATAAATTAATCTAACATGATTAACTGAAAAGTACAATAATTTTTACATCTCTGAATAAAACACATACTTTGTAATTCACATTTTTAATTTAGATATGATATAAAAATAAAAGGCATTCTTACAAATATATACAGGTAAAGCCTAATGATTTACACCCTTTTTAATTTTTTTACATCCATCTTGAACTTTATTAAGGAACAGATTTTATAGAACGTTTTGATGAGAACTGACAAAATAGCTGAACCTATTTCATTACAGAAACATGAGAATTAGCATACTTCAAAAAAAGTTTAGGTTTCAACATAAATTGATGACAGATTATTTATGCTTTGTGAGGATTGCAGATTTGTTTTGGTGCCCAATTAGCAGTTACGACCTAATTTACTGACATTTCATAGATGAAGTAATAATTATAATTAAATACAATTTATAAGCATTCTTTTTACCACCACCATTATCCTCACAAAAAAGAACGATTATTTACATAGATGTAAACTTCACAGCAAGCTGATGTACATTCATTTCAAATAGAAACTTTCTTGAAATTATCATGAAAATATGTTAACTTTTCACCTGAATTGTAGGGTCAATGCTAAAGCCATCATCTAGAGCAGAAGTTGCTTTTCACAGTGGTTACACTACAAGTCCACGATTTGAGTCCATTTAAAGCTTTCACGTGAAGCTTGAACCTTCTGATCAACTTCTTAAAGACATTTGTTCAGGTCTTCAAATAGCTAACTTTATACCCTAGCTGTGTTTGACCCTGTGAGCCTGCATAGGATCCTGTAGATTTACTTGGAGGGCTGTTTGACTTTGTGTCCTCTGCTGAAGAAAGAAAATGTCCTTCGTAAAACATGCTGAACCTTCTACTGTAAGTGCATAAAATAATAAAATAAAGTCCAGTTTTTCAAGTGTATGGGCATTCTGCCATTGATGAATATGTTTTCCAGAAACCCAACAGTAACAGTCAGGGAGAAGAGTCTTACACAATAGTACAAAAATAAATTTTGCCATTTTATTTGTATTTACAAAGAAGAATATCTCTATTCCATAATTAATTCTCCCTACAATCAATTCTTGCCTTACTAATTAATTAAATTACAATGCTTTGCCTCGTTCTCTAGGTCCAATTACTTAGATCTTATTTCATTAACAGAAGGTAATGCTATCTACATAAACACATATGTATTTATTTTTAGTTTTGCAAAGCATACACCACCTGGGATCAGATTTTCAATTGAAGTATAAGTAGTGGTGCAAAAGTCCATGAAAATTTTCTTCATAATTCTTGACATTGTTTTCCTCCAAATATCAGAAACAACACAGCACTTTATAGAATTGTTCTCATAAAATAATCTGAATGAATAATAGATACATTGGATATTTTTCCAATAATCTGCATATTTTTTGCAAAGTATTTAAGATAAGATTTTTTTTTAAAAAAGCCTTCGAATGGAGCCTGGATCAACAAATTAAATATTTTAAATGACCTGGGATACTTGTGACAAGTTTAAATTAGTTAGTCAATTGTATTTGTATCTATAACAGCATGATGTTTTAAAAATCTGCTGCTCTGAAATTTTACATTTAATCTATTATTACAATTTCCATACATTTTCAATAATATTGCCACCTTCCCTTAACATGACACTTACATGACACTTGCCACCACATTTCCTTGCTATGCATAAATTTGGGATTGTCCAACCCATATCTAGTTTGTAACTAGAGGTGATGCTATTCTGTGAATGAACGTTAATATTGTGGTTTAAGAGAAGGTAAAGTGGAACACTGTGTTTCCTTACTCAAATAAAAATGCTCACTTTTCAAGATTCGAATCATTGTCTCAGGCATATAGTGATATAATAAGTTTTCCTTGTACTCAATTTGGGCTTCAGTCCTGACATTCATGTTCTTTAAATGCCAATTGTGTTAATATCTGTGTCCTGCAGAAGACTGTGTTCCAGTGATAAAATGAGGGGGTGGAGCTAGTATTTCGTGGAGTTTCAAAGTGATCTGAACAAAAAAAGTCAAAGTTTTTGAATTTCCATAAAATATGCATCTCAGCCTGCCTGGACCAAAGTACTTTATTTAATGCTATGTTGGCATTAAACTGCTTTGTATTGTAATTAACTACTACAATGCGGAAGCTATAATGGAGTGGCTACCTTCTCTGGTTGCTTGAATACTTTTGAATGGCAGTGGTGTGGGAAGGTCACAACTATGAGTTGGTAGTGTGCTGCCACCTGCGTGTTGCCAGCCGTGGGTTGCCATGTAACTGGAGGCAGCTGCACTGTATGTCATATAGGGAGATACTTGTGCAGGTGGAGGATAAGGAGCCATACTTGGAACAGAGACAAAGCTGCTAACTGTAGGCAGACCATTAGGACCCTGGAAGATTTAAAAATAAAGAGAAAATAAGCCAACTATAATTACTTTGTATTATGTTATTGTTGTTAGCAGTATGTAACACAAGCACTACAAGACTATGTCATGAAATATTAAATGAAGTATGTTTATAACTTAAGCCACGTTGATGTAAAATTTTGCATGAATGACAAATCTGAACCAACGGTGCCTATTTATTTTATATATTACTGTATTTCTTAACAGTATAGAAGTATCCACTTTATAGTCATTTGGAAGTATTAGGTAATGCTACCAATACAAAAATGGATGTAATATTTTAAGTGAAACCAATGTACAATTCACAATCTCGATTGATTTATGAAAAATGACATTTCAAGATGTTAAATATATGTGAATATTCGAAGATTAAGTAACTGCTAAAATGTGGGAAATAATAATCTAATTACAATAGGAAATAGATTAAATTGTGTTAGTATTTAAAATATTCATCACAAGATCCCCAAATTAAAAGTCATGAATGTGTTGGATTCTGTGATGATGTGAAAATAATTTTTGAGATTTTTGGTGAATCATAACAGTTGACACATTATTATATCAATGAAAATAATAGCCAAGTGCAGGTCAGCTTAAGATCAGGCGAATACCACAGTGATGACTGTTCTCACAATGTTTCCTCAGGCACTGTCCTTGAACAAAAATGCGGAGCCAAACATAGTTTTGCTGCCCTTTGTATAAGATTGTGTGTGATATATGCTGTTACATAAATACAATTGACACCAATATAATACAACTACAGAATAATACAAGCCGCGTGGATAGCCAAAGAGAGTGTTATGTTTACTTTTCAAAACCTGCCATACCGCATCGATTTGAAATACAGGTTTTCACCCCGACATATATTTGAAATACGTCATGATCTCTTTCGTTTTAATAGCAGATACGTCCAATGTGATCAGTTTCAATGTATAAATATCAATGATTTTGCCTATCATTAGACACTGCTAAACTTGCTGGACACAATCAGACGAGCTGATAAAAGTAGCGGGCCGAGCTTTCTACCTCTTTCAATTTTAATTTTTAATGAAAATATTGGGACGGGTCACCATTTCAATAGTTCTTTCCTCCACCATAAAATACATTCTGTTGTTTCTCAGTTGTGCCACTGCCTTTGTTAGAATCTCTTCTGCCATATTTTTTTAATTGTCGGCATTTTCTTGGGGACGGGATTGGACAATGACGTTAATAGATTATTTAGATTATTTCAGTAGAGCAAAAGAAATGCACTGAACAATCAGGATGTGGGCTAGAATCATTTCAAGTCGTAAAAGGACCTTACGCCAAATTTCTTGCGAATACTTGTAATATAAAACTAAAAGTCATGAATATACCTGCATGTCTGAGCAGTTAATCCTTCTTTGACATTTCACCACGTTGCTCCACCCCTTCTCGCCTACCCAAACTTTTTAAACAGCTGTGTATAAATCTATACTTTATCAGTCGATCTTCATTCTGTATTGGACGATTAATTTCACCAAATGGCAGACTTGCTAATATTTTCTGAGGAATATTTTAAGAAAAAGTAGTGATATTACGAGGAAACCAAATTGTGCTTGTGATTGAATCTGGTATAATTGCACTTCTGCGTTCCCAGGCCCAGTTCTTGTTTTATACCAATTATACCGGACTACACATTCATTGTAAATTTGTGTAAATGGTAAATTCAGTTTTCCCATATTTAAAGAGTTTATTGCTGATTTACTTTGTTACAGTGGCTACTTAATTTCTTCAGTATCGTGAAAATGACCTATGATCCCACGTGTAGCAATAAAATTATCGATTATATACAGAAATGATTCGGATCGCCACCCCACCCCCCCCCCTTCCCCCGCCCCTTCAAGGTGTTTATTATATGTTTTGTTCTCGTTCTGCGATTTGGCACATCCATCTGTGCCAGGCTTAATTACTATTTCGATTTATCAGCGGCGTATCTAATGCCATGTTAAACACCAACTAAATGTTGTCCTTATATTCCCCCTTCATTCCTTCTGATTAAAAAATGTTTACTACATATTACATGATGTTACAAACTAATTAGAAGTTCCTACTATGTACAAGTCACTGGAATTTAAAACACTAATTACACCTAGGTTATAATTGTTCAAACGTATTTATTTTTGTAGTTCTGAGTTCTGTAAACGCTGTAATCTGTCTAGTTGAGAGGAAAGGCACACTACAATTACCTGAGTATATTTGACTTCCTGCTCCAATGGGGACTTGTCCAGTCCATTCACTGCAGCCTGGTTTGAGGACTGGAAGTGGCTCCTGTTTATACTGTTCCACTCCTCCACTTTAGTTGGATAGGAAGAACTGTCACTAATGGGAATAGCACCTAACAATAAAAATATTTATATGACATGACTTGAATCAGAATCCTTGTAGCAGCCATCATATTTGCATCTCTTTTCATCCCTTTATCATTCTGGCATTTTGTTTTAATTTGGTGCAGACGGCCAGATGAAGTTTACTGGGGTACCATTCCGCTCATTTGTACTGCTTAAACTTATCGGATTTGGTCGAGTTCAGTGTGCATTTCTCAGCAGCCTGGATCATATCCACTATGGCACAAATTAATAAATCAGAGAGGCAACAGTTGAATATCATGTATTTCCACAAATTGTTTCGCGATTAGAGTTTGAATATTATTTCTGATATGCGTTACTTCCCCAACAGTGCATTTCGAAACATTATTTCTGAAACATACTCATAATCTACGTCCTTGGAAATTATGTTGTACAAATTTTCACATACTTTATTGGATTGTGAATTTCTGTAAACATGGTTTTCAAATCTACGTCTCTGTACGAGCTTTCAGTATTTCGACAGATATTTAGGGATACTGATATCGTTTTATGTGGATCTCGTATCAAGTCTCTCTTCATGGTTCTCTGCCGTGAAAGTAAGCCATTAAATTCTTTTACCGAAATTTCCCCAAAATCATAAGTACAGGATTCATTTTAAATGCACTTTATGTTCATGTATTTGGTTGTAGCCTGGAGCAATACATTATGAAGGAAATGCAATTGGAGCTTTAATTATATATTTCCTCTTAGTCCCAGAACAAGATGTGTTATTGTGATGGTTTCAAAAAGGAAAACTGATGTTGGCAGTTAAAGCCGATAATAATTTTCCAGGTAGCACTATCGTAAATGTAAGCAGTTGTCATCTCTTTACATTATAGGGTTAAAACGACACAACTACTAAATCTGTTTTAAATAAACCCCTGGGCGATTCCCGGATACCCATGTCATTGTTTGATGCAACTTTCCAACAAGTGATTTGTTATATGTTTCGTGGAAATGTGGAAATGATATTGTGATTTAGGAGGTGCAACAGAGAGGGGACTCCAATGAACTGATCCGAAAAACACTTGTGTGTATCACAGAAACAGCAAAATAATCTATAATAATATTTTACAAATGACTTATTAGCTGCGCAATTAATCTAGAACAGTGGCCTGAAGGAATGCTACTGCACAAACCTTCGTGAAAAATGTAAACAAAATCGGTGACCAACTACTATAAACGCAAGGTATAACTAGGAGACCATTATAATCAGCCGATGCTTGAGAGAGGAAATAATTATGTCGTTTGACAACTGGAGTGGACATTTCCTTGTGAGAAGCGGCCTGGCTTTGCTTTGTTAACTAGATTGCGAAAACTGAATGCGTTAGAAATTAACATGTATTGAAGCACTGTAAATGGGTAGAATGGAGCTCACAAATCTTCGTCTCCTCTTACGAAAGCGTTTAAATACATGTTGATAAAAAGCGTACTTCTGAAACTGCTGAATTGAAATTAAATGTGAAGCCTTGGTTTTGATGGCTGTCACTGTAACAGCTACTGAAATGAAATTAATAAACTGTTACGAGGTGACTTGAAATTTACAAATTTGTGCTTAGGTTCTAATTACATGGGAGGAAAAGGTGGGTTAGTGAGTTTAATGCAGAAAACGTACGGGTAAGTCTAAAATATGAAACAGTAAAAGCTGAATTTTCACTGAACAGAGGGGTTTTTCTGCATTATCCATGGGGACAACTAAATTTAACGGTAAAGTACAAACAAAATGTTTAATGCTGTAATTCTTTTAGCTGGGCCTTTGGCACTGGACGACTGATAGCTGGATTGCTGCCGCTTACCTTGCTGCTCGATGATTGCTCTAATCCCCAGGATGTCAGAGACAGAGTGTGATGAAGGCCAGGTCCTGTGAATTCCCACGTGTCCTGGGATTGCGGGTACACCGGGCGACGCTGGCATTTTACCTCCGGCCGTTGTTATGGGACTCGAATAAGAATAAATTGCATTGTACTGGAGAGCCGATTGTGGAGACGGGTGCGCTGGAGTTTTACTCGATTCGTAATTGTTCTGCTGCGACAAGTTTCCGATCTTGTTGCGTAGGATTCTGCTGATGGAGCTCACCGAAGGGACGTTGTATTTATCGCAGACTCCATCAGCCAACAGTCTGTCTCGGATCTCCCACGCAAAAATCCCTGGATCCCTCTGCTTGTAAGCTCGAATGTGTTTGACCACTGTGGGGGTCGTCACCCTGGGTTTGCTGCCTCCGATCGCACCGGGCAATATGGAACCGGTCTCGTTGTACCGAGCCAGAATTTTACTGACACAACCGTGTGAAACTCTGAGCTGTCTACTGATATCGCAGGGTCGAATCCCCAGTTGGGCCAGTTCGACTATCCGCAGTCTAATGGCATTTGGCAGTGGTCTGCCATTGACAAATACACCTCCTAACTGGTTTACTTCTCCAAACGCTGGTTCTGGTATGGAATAGAACAAAAACGCGCATTCAGAAAAAAAAGAGTTAACTACAGAAACACGTTAACTCGACAGCGGATGTATTTTTGTTCTGTTAACCAACTTTTGACAAGCTCTACTTTATTACGTTTATGGAGCGTATCGGTGGAGTAGGCCTGCACTGTGTAAAGCTTGCATTCAACTCAAAGTCGTACATTAGGTACTAACGCAGTTCCTGACATTTCCGAGTGGAAGTCAACCACTAATAGACACAACAGTTGAAATTGAGATCGCCATCTGCACTCGATAGCTTTTGCATGACCGTTTGCGGGAATTTTTTTTCAATCGCTCGGAGCTTTTATTCGAAAGAGCTCTTAAATGGCAAAAGGTTTATCTTTGAATTGACTTTATGGACGTTTGTTTGATAAATCTTCATTTTCTGTCGTTTCTTTACAAAGAAATATTTACACGACCATGAGATTGTTTTTCGAAATGTCATTCTATTTTCATATCCTAAGACTTAAGTTTTCATTTCTCCAATGTTTAGATGTAAATAAAACAAAAAATGTAGCGTGGATTCAAAACTTGGATATAATTGAAACACGAGCTTTTATTTCTGCTCAGCATGTATTTATCTGTCATATTGAGAGGAGGAATGGTAACTCCCCGGGAATATTTAACGACTATGTTTGAAAGTTACCCTCCGCTCTCCTTTCAGTTTGCAGTGTTTGCTAATTGGCTCGTTTGGCTATTATTGTATCTTTTTTTTCAGAGGACAAAACACATCTGCATAATTCCATCAAACTCATCAACTCTCCAATAGATGGCCATGAAATGTAAATTATCCAAAAATAACATTTCCGCAAAACTCGGACTAACTTCCCTAAATACAAGATAAACATCCCAACACGTAGTCATCTAACTAGGCGTGACTAGCTCGATCTTAAAGCATACTTTTTCAATTAATATGAATGGTGGAAACATAAGTTAGTGCTTGCTAATGCTAGCTTTATTGATCGACTGTGCATCTGTTGACAGCAATATAAAATATAGAGACTACTTACCCATGATAGTTATTACTCAAGTGATCCTCAAAACTTCCTGCTGAATATGTCAGCGTTTCAAATAGAATTCAAATCCCCTGAAGTACAGATTGCTTTGGGATCCGCTTATAAGTGCTGCTCAATAACTGATCTCACCTTCGGAGTTATAGAAGAGCATGTATAGAGTAAAAATGCTTCCCTTTTCCTCGGGAGAGGTGGCTTGGTTCTGCATTTCAAAGCACAGCATGGGAAATGGATTTTACACGCTCTGTCTGTCAATCACCATGGACACGCCCTCGGCAATGACGGAAGAGGCGGGAGGATGAAAATCCCATTGACTCATTGGTGGATGGACGTGACCTGGCAATACTACCTGGAAGTTGCTCATACGAATTATTCTCGGGCTGACCACCGTCTTGAGGCTTTTGGTAGACTGTTAATGTGAAGGAGATATTACTTAAATATTTCAATAAATTGCAAATTGTACCAAACTAATATTGTTATTTTAAATGGAATTGTTCATTCAACCGGTAAGTTCCCATTGTTAGTTCTATTTCCCTCGCAAAGCAACATTATAAGCGTATAGATTATTTATTTTAAAAATGCATCTTAAAATTAATCACCATGTAAATTCGTGTTATTCCAAAGTAAGTTTCAGCCCACATTTTGTTTTAGTTGCTGGTGAATGCCATGTCTCATAAAAAAAGTCGACCAACAAAGGGAGTACATTTTTCACGGCAAATTAATTATTAAAATGGTTGTTTTTTTTACATTGTAACAAGAGTATTAAATATTTGTTATAGTAAATAATTACATGTAGCTTCCCATCTTAATTTGCTGTTAGCCGCTGGAAGCTTATTTAACGATGTTTGTAAAAATGAGATAACACATTCATAATTCATTATTGATTGCATAGTGAAAATATTCTTGCATTACTTGATTAGTTATTAGAATGTATTGTATCATGCTACGGTTTGAATCAAAATATGACGTAATATAGAACTGATAAATGACTTAGCACCAAGCTGTCTTTGCAAACGAAATGTCCATCATTTCAACCTCAGCAAAAGATTTGCTTATGTAGTCCACCTTTGCGCGATACTGACTAGCGTGAATCACTTTCTTTCATGAAAATACTAATTTTTGCCTTTGTTTAATTGACAAGTGGAACATCAATCCCGAATTTATGCTCTTTTATTACTACGATCTATATTTTTTATAAAGGGAAGGAATTTATGACTTTAATTTTCTAAGGATATCTATTTACCTTTGTCGTATTAGTTCATCCTACTATTTATATTTTGCGGTATGTTCCAAACCCGGCAGAAAATCATGTTTGAAATAGATTCTGTGTTATTGAAGGTGAAACATACCTACAAAGTACTTAATGTTTATTTGAAAGTTACAGTCAAATACGTCACTTTAATTATGTATAAGTATTTTTGTTAGATTTGTTCATTTGATAATGTTATGTTTAAGATGCCAAGTAGGTTCTGGTGTCAATAAAATTCTATTACTTAAACATAACTCATTTAAAGATCATTAAGGATAGCGTTGTACTATTTAATGGCTTTGAGGTGAAGGCGTTTTAAACTTTTTTTAATTTTAATTATCGCCGGTACGAAAAAGTATTTAAAAATTTTCTTATAGTAATTGACAGTTCAACCGAATAAACTCTGCTGATAAAGACAGCAATGTTGGCAATATTCAATAAAACCGGCAGCGCATGAAGAAAATAAAGATGTAGAACGAAGGTTTCAAGAAAATGATCTTTTGTCAGACCTGTTTACTTCAGATTTCCAGTTTCCGCTGTATTTTGCTTTTGTATTCTTGGCAAAGTCTCCCAGTTTAAGTTCTCAGGTGACAATTCTTTACTCCTATTTGTTTTTGATGGGTGTTGGGCATGTTGTAATTCGATAAGACGGCCTATCTTCGTTTCTTTCTATCGGTTTACGTTTCTTTTCTCAATTTGTTGATTTTTTGTAATTGTTTTTGAACATGTTCCTATCTTTGCCCCGTTGTCTATATGAATCTGTATCCTGTTTTCCTTCGGAACTAACTGTGGGACCTCTGTTCCCTTCGCCTTCTATCTGTGGGCCGCGTGTGAGGCTGGAACTTAGGACAGTGGGAAGAATCCTTGTCGACAGGGCTGCTCTCTAGTGAGAAAGCATAAATGTTTACCCGGGTTGAACGTGCTTAACTTGTTTCCATAGAGGTGCTGACTGTGGTCTTAAATGACAAAGGTCAGATGCACACTGGCCCGTTAAAGGGAACACAAACGGGATGAATCCTCAATTGTTTCTGCAAGCAAGCATTAAATCATTTTGAATTTGGCTGCTTCATTTCAGAACAGTACGTTTTAAAGGCCAGAATGGGTTTTTCAATACACTTAGAAATAGGAAGTTGATTTCCAATTGTGAAATTTGTATTTGAATGTCCAAGCATGCACGTTGCCGGACTAAATACCGCAGAGTGCATTCATTGTAACATTTTTAAATTTTTCTCCATTATTTAATGGTAACAGTTCGCACCAGGTTTTTTCTTTTTTACATGTAGCTTTGGGAGAATTTCCAGTGTTTCCATTCTTTAACTTACGCTTTATGTTAACTTTAACTTTCCCTTTACAATGAGGCACTCAAACTTTCCAGATTCTTTCGGGATAAAAACATGTCCTTCATCCATAATCCAATAGGTAATCCAATAAAGTACTTACACTACTGAACTTCAAACACCTACGTAAAATATCTGGAAATACTATGAATAAATATTTACAGCAAATTTCATTGAAGAGCAGTGTCTCAGACAATGTTTCCCTTGAACGTTTTTTGAGTATTTTCTCAGAAGAATTGAAAAGATGACTATAAAAAGGACGGGGGTTTTCGAATAGGTAACTTGACATTTAAACTGGATGTAAAGTGGAACGAACTGCTCGGTTTACAAAATCGTGTTATGAACCAAAACTGCCGCAGCCAGATTAGTGAATGCATCACTGGGCTGCAAACAAAACAAAATCTAAAATCGTTTTTCGATGATTGAATTTCAAAAGATAATTGATATTAATAAATTAGAAAAATGTTTGCAAGTTGTCATTGACCGTGGAGATCTTTACACAACACGCTAGCGTTCAAGAAATAGGTGTGAAGATTGATAAAACGAAGCTAAATATGATTTCTCGCTGTCTCCCTCTGGTGAAATCTATTGTATCTGCTTTGCATGTACAACGGGGTGTCGCTAGATTTCTAAAATAGACTATTCAACTAGTGTAAAGTGAATTAATCAAGGATTAACTATTATTCAAGTCATCATTTAGCATAAAGCTCAAATCATATTTCTTAAGCACAATCTATAACACTCGAGTTATACAAAGTTTAATTGACCCAAATATGTGGTGCTTCCTAAAAGTAAATTAATTTTTGTCTGAATAATATGTTATCACCGTTATCTAAGCTTGCAGTTTCGTCAAAGGTTAATTCTATTTAGAATGCGTCATATTATATTTGGGCAAATGAACAAACAACGTTACAATACAACAATCGGGGAACGTGGGGTTAAAACATCGGTGGACAACGCAGTCTCTTGCGCCTTTTCCAGTACTTAAATGGATCGTGGCTCATTTGTATTTCAACTTGATTTATCGGCTTTTGCACGATAGCCCTTGAAATCCTTACCAATAAAAATCTTTCTCTCTCAGTATTGAAACTGTAACATTTCGGGGAGTGAATTCCACACTGCCCCTCATGTGTGAATAAATGTTTCCTGGTTTCATGCCGGAAAGGCCCAGCTCTTTTTTTTATTTAAATCACCTCTATGGGCTTTCCTTATCACTTGAACACTTCGACTGGATTGCCCCTTAACCGTCTAAAATGAAGGCAAGATATTTTATAGAGCCCGTTTTCATAATGTGGTTCTCTAAGTCTTGGTATGATTCTCGTGGACATGCAATTTACTCTTCCCATAATTAATATATATATTTCCTGAGGTTAATTGCCCAAAACTGAATGCAATGCCGAGATAGGCTCGGATCCATTAGATATCGTTTAGGGTCTGACCTATCAGATAACACTTAATTTAAAATAGATTACACCGCCCACGTAGCTTCAACGGGAAGTTGATCCTACCGGATGAAAATTGTCACGGCCGTGTTTTCAGTCTAATGGATTTCGTTACTAATATGACAAATGTTATTTCAGAACATGTGCACGATATGTTTTCAAATTCGAGTTTTAAAAATCTCAATTTTAATTAGGTCCTACAAATTCTATATCACCTCAAAACTAGCTGTAGTTTCATTGAAACTTTAGTTCGCAAATCTGTTAAATAATGCTACTGTAATCGGTAAGCAAAATGTTATGATGCACGAAACCAAGAAGACACCGGACATAATGCACCAAATTGTCTGTTTAATTATAAACTAAAGCATCATGCTGCAAAACGTAATGCTTCTTCATGTGATCTGGATGCATATTCAAACAATCAAAGGAGGTATTAGAACTAGTATTAGAGACGGTTATGAATTAAACACCCGTAATATTTTCTCTACTCTCCCTCCTTTGATCGCTTGCAGGAACAAAACCATTTGCAGCTTTATAGTCGGCATTGAAATTATGGGAAGAACAACTGAAATCACTTTCCTGATGAACACCTTTCTAAAACCATGCTGCAGAACCTATGCCTCTCTCGTAAAGTAACAACCTTAGAAGTGAAGCATCAGGTGTTGCTCGAATTACAAGTTCAAAAAAATTGTTTCGAGCATGCTGTATTTTGAATATCATTATTATTTCAGAAAGTCTCTTCCCAGCTGATGGGTGAAACAGCACGTCCAAAATGATTTGATTAATTGAATAATCGATGCCAGTGGTGTAAATTCCAAAGAAATATACACAATTTTTTTCATATCCAAAACAACAGTGTAGGTGTTACAAGCATTCTACTGATAAGTTTATAAAGCATATATCAATAAGACATTAGATTTTCTAAATTATATTCTTGGTTACCTGATCAAGTGTATCCCAGGACGTTGTGGGAATTTAAAGACGAAATTGTAGGGTTTTGTATCATCTATCAACATAGGCAAAGTACCAGAGGACTGGAGGGTGGTTAATGTTTTGCCATTGTTTAAGAAAGGCAATAAGGAGAAGCCTGAAAACTGTAGACCCGTGAGTCTGGCATCAGTGGTGGGTAAGTTTTTGGAGGTGATTCTGAAAGATAGGATTTACATGCATTTGGAGAGGCAAGGATTGTTTAGGGA